CAATATTACATGTCTGGGTGTGCATGAATGCTTTATTAGTGCTAGGTCTTAACACTTAACCACATTCATGTACTTTTTTCAGCTTGGATCTAAGCAGAAGCAACCCAAGCTAGAGCAGTGATTTAAATAAATTATTTATTGTTAAAATCTCTCAAAGAGAAAAACTGTAATCAAATATACTAACATTTATTTTGAAACTTGAAAAAACATCGATTGATGACGGGGCGAAGTTTCTTTCCTTCTTTAATATTTAGTTAGGTAATTACATTTCCTATTAAATCCAATGTTTTTTTAATTTGCTATTTTCTAGTTGAGTTATTTAAGAACCATTACCTCCAATTAGTTGATTTTGTCATGAGATAAATGCAGGGTATTAAACACAGTAGTACTACACTGATTAAATATTTACTGGGCAGATACTGTAGCTTTGTTGATTGGAATTTTCTAAAACTGCTTGGCAACATTTGGTAGCACCACGACACTTCCTTAAATGGTTATTATCTGATTTCTAATTAGATGGGTAGAAAATGTCAAGTTATCTCCTAAGCAGTTTAACTTATCTGATTTAGAGGTTGACCTGGTAAAATTATTTCTCATGGAAGCGTTTTTTTTTTTTTTTTACTTTTTTATGGGAGTTGATGATTGGAAACTTCACTCTTGGAAACTTTTTAAAAAATGCATTCATAATGATGTCTGAATGATTTTCCATAAGTTTCATTACAGGATAACTTTTCTCATTAACTGTTTGCTTTTTTTTTTAATTATAGACAATAATAGTATTTGTATTTTGATTTGAAAATTATTAAGGCAATGAAAGACTATTAGTGTTTGGCAGTAATTTATTAGTATTTGATATCTGATATTTTTCTATGAGCCCTTTCAATTATCTTACTAAATACAATTTGAAAAAAACCTTGATAGCAATTATTATAACCAATATTGATTGATTTCATTATTTGATTCACTTCTTTATTGAAGTTCTGATCCACATTTCAGGTCATATCAAGCCTAATATTATCAGGACATTTCTAATAATACATATCTCTTAAGAGATCAGTGTTGAGATTATTATTTTATCAAAATAACTTTTTTTTAATTGAAGGATTTTAAGTATATCTTCAATATTTCTTTTATATACATACTTGTGTATATAGTGAAAGTATTATTAAGATATGAATAAAAAAGAACACTTTTACTTTCACAAAATCATTATATTTCTAACGGATTGATAATACAATGGAGCTGTAGAAAATCAACTTTTTGTTGATAGGATTAGAAAATAAATTCATTTATTGCAGAAACAAATGTATATTTATCATACATCATTCATTACACTGGGCAACAAAAAATAAATTTTTGAATGTTTCCAGCACTTAATGAGTTAATTCTTACTGGGTTGAGAAAAATGAATATGACAATGAAAAATTTTTCTTAACTCTGGTTTCTGTGATATACACTAGGTGGAAGTATTTCATATTAACGAATTAAGAGAAAAAGATAAATTTTAATTATATATGCTAACAACATTGAAAGTTCATTTGATTTTTCAAAATGGTAGTTACATTCTAAGATTTCTAAATTGCTGGAAGAATATCTTGCAGATGGTCTGAAAAGATTATGTGGTGGTTTCATGTTCTTGTGTTTATTTTATTTTATCAAACTTACATTGCTCAGAATATTTATTTATTAAATGGTAATCTAATACAATACAATATTTGTAAGTAATAACCTGACATAATTGATACTGACTTAACAAGATGGAATTCGAATCTACAACACTCTGAACTGAACACTCTTGGCCCTTCGCTTCACTGTGCTTGGGGGACCATAGTCTCCGACCATCCGACCATAATAGACCATAATCCGACCATTGTCGGAATTTGTTTACTATGAACAGTTATCATATTTTCTATTTTTATTTAAGATAATAATGGGAATTATATAATTATAATTAAAGATTCATTTTTTATTTAGTGATTTTCTATAACTTTAGGTAAATACAGTTTGAGTGATTGAAAACTGTGGAACTTTATTATATTAAAATCTTTACTAAAACAATGGATGTAATTGTGATTCCAAAATGATAGCTCATGAGAAAAAAATTAACCACTTTTAGTTGTTATTAGACCCCATTATTGTCCAGTAAGGCACAGGCGGATCTACGGGGGGCTGAAGCACCCCACAAAATGGTAAAATATAACCAGGTTTTTTCGAAAAAAAATTATCTCTTAAAGTATAATTATTCGTGTAATTACGTTTAAGAGGGCTTTAGCAATCACTTAAACACCAGATCATATAGGTAGTTAGTTTCTTTCTTATTTACCGAACTAATTATCGTTATTTTTATGAAAAAAAAAGCTTTCGGGCTGAAGCCCCCCCAAAATTAAATCCTGGATCCGCTAGAACAGTAAGGTAATTGTGATCCAGGCATGGAGCATAAATATGTGAAATTTTGAAATGACCTATGTACTTTTTTTAATAAATGGTTTGAGTTTTTTTAGATCTAAAAAATTATTTTTGCAATCCATAGCTTGGAAAATTAACATCTTCAAATCCAAGCCCTCATTGATATGTTACTTATTTTCTGATTTTAATGAACGAAAATTTATTTATTTTTCAAATTTTGATAAACGGCTAACATAAATCTAAAGATAATTTCGGAACTAATAATGTTTTTATTGAGGCATTTTTTTATAAGATGTTTCAAGTGATAAACTGTCTTGCCATCTATTATATTGAATATTATTTTTCAAAATTCTATGAGATTGATTTCAAGAATTCTTTTATTTTTTACCTTCTTTTGAATTTATCAATAGGGAGTATGTCATGTGATACTTATGCACAAAAATGTTACTTAGCTTTAGTTATTTACTTGTTGCAAATTTACTTTTTACTCATTTGTTTTCGACTAAAACTGTTCTGAGGTTTTTTTATTCTATCCGGTCTATATTTCTGTTTATCTCATTTTTTGCACAATAAAAACAAAGCCACTCATAACATTTTATTTCATAACTTTTTGTTTTAAAATATCCCTTATCATTAGTTTGCTTTCATCAATAACTATAAAGTTTTATGTTTAAGTCTATAAGAGCCTAACATCTTTTTTCATCCTGTCTATACCATAATATTGAATTATAGTATTCCTAAATTTGTTCAAGAAGAAATGATGTAGTTAAGTATCAACTGAATTTACATTTCTTATTTCTATATGCTCTTCATCAGTTAGTTTAGTCTTTCGTTCTTCCAGTCTTACATTAATTGGTAAAAATTTTACATTCACAGTTACTACTCAACATATGCTGAAACTTCTTATTTTCATAGGATCAGTATCTCGCGCCAAGGATTCCTGTAATCAAAATGTTCTTGGAACCTTGTTCTAATGATGAATATAAAAATCGGCAGTAGTAACCTATGGTATTCATAATTATCGGGCAAATTCAGTCAAAAAATATGCGCAAAACAACGGACAAGATAGAAATTATAACTATACATAAATATATTTATACTTAATATGATTTATTCCTTTCTGCTTTAGAAAACTGGAAGAAAATTGTAGAAACAAATAAACTGAAAGAAAATGGGAAGGAACAAATTCAAGAGAAACTCAAAAAAAATTTGACCCAAAATTGATACTGAGATATTGTTTTCAGCTCACTACAGTGTATTCTGTTTTATCTTCATTTATTTGTAAGCCGTTTTTTTCTGATTCTCTTATCACAGTTATTTAGAGTCTATCTATGTCCTTTTGGAGGTAACATAGGCAATAGATATTTACAATTGATTAGGTAAATAAATGTATACAATTTATTATAATTTTTACAACTTATTGTATATAAAAAATATTTTGTTTTAGGTAAAACAAATAATAATAACAATAATGATTGTTCTTACCAAAATGGTTTTCGTCTATATTAATTCAGAAGGGCCCGACATCCGTTTTTTAGATATCTTTCCTAAATTAAAAATTTTCCAGGGTTTGTGCCATTTTTATTGCTTTTCCGACCACTGTGTGGTTTAATCTCGGTAAGACATTGAAAGATAATCAATGGCATCATAATTTCTCTTTTAATATCATTTTTATGAGATAGGTAGATTTATTTATTATCTATTTATTTATTTATTTTTGCAGTAGTGTGATGTTAAATGTGTTGATATCCCAGATGTTATATGTAGCCTTTATGCTTTTAGGTCGGCTTTGTAGATTAGGCTTCTTTTATTGGTTGATTAGGTTAGCAGATTTTTTTTTTACTATTTTCCATTTTAATGAAAAATAAAATCTTACTTATAACATCATCTTGTTAAATTATATTATAATTGCTTGTGAATAAACAAAATAGCAAATGAACCTCTCTCACACTTTTCCTATATGCAGTTTGAATTTTTAAAACAAATAAATGGTTTTTTTTTTATTATTTTAATGGAATTTACAACTGTATTACATAGAAAATACAATAAGTAAATGTGAAATTGGTAACATGACATGTACAACATGAAGAGAAACTACCCATTGGTAGAACTCAAACAAATAAATGTATCAATAACTTGTTTCTGATTTCTAATTTTGCACAAAACATTATTATGATAGTTTTTTTGTTTTTTTTCTTTTGATAAGTATTGGGCAAACAAGTAAGTTTGTTTGCAAATTTGCCAGATGAAGATTTATTAGACCAAAAATGTTAGATTCACATATTCTTTCAGATTAGATTCCGAAGAAACCAACTGGTTATTCTCCTGATCTTAGTCTCTATAATATATGATTTATAAATTATCGTTAGGAGTTATGTTATTTAATGTTATTAGCATTTTTAAATGTCAAAGGATGAGAAGATCTATGATATTAACAAAAAATAAAATACAAGATGCTAACCTTAAAACACAGCAATGTTTTAGACATTAAAAAAAAAACAAGAAAAATTTAGAAAACGATCTTTGAAAAATTATCTAATATTCAACTACAATGCTATTAAAAAAAGACAAATAAAGCTGTTCTTGGTCGTTTTTCACATTAGTTTTTCCATCTCTTCTTTCCATACATTTCTTTCAATCCATGACAAAAAATACGGCACTTTAACATAAAGCCCAGGAGATTTGGACAAACCGCAAGACAGTCCCGCTGAAGTAACTCCAACTAAACCATGTTGCCTTGCGGGCATCATTAGAGGGACGCTCAGTGGACCACCTGAGTCTCCCTGAAACAGAATAACGTGTTTAATTATTTTATAATAACCCTTAAATATTTTATACATATTATTCATCACTCCATACAGTACTTTATATAAGTCCAATATTTTTATGTATTATATGTATGTAACCTCGCGCGGGCTCATTACCGCGTATGAGGAGCGTCCCACGGGTGGCGGATGTGGGGATGGTCGGTGGAAATTCCTTGGAAGGTCCTCCCGGCTAAGTCCGATGGACTCGCTGACCAACAATGAGAGGGGCCCTCCAGACTTGCTGGAGGGAGGGGACCTCCAGACTTGCTGGAGGCAGGGGCCCACCAGACTTGCTGGAGGGTGTGACGTAGGATTGAACGCCCTACTCACATATCTTTAGTTCACCAAACACCACAAAAAGTCATGGATCTCCCTAAGGTAAAACGCTCATTATCCGGAGGTAAACTAGTCCCCCGTTCGGGTCTCCGGGTGGGGACTGCTTTAGGGGATTCATGGCGCAAGTTGAAATATAGGGATTTAAATATTGGTACGTGGAACGTAAGGAGTTTAAACACAGCAGGGGGGCTAAAATCGGTCGCGAATGAGGTAAATGGGTACAATTTGGATGTCGTGGCTCTGCAAGAGGTTCGCTGGCCAGGGGAGGGCTCGATGAGGGAAGGAAAGTACACTATTTGGTACGGAGGAAGCGGGAATCATTGTTTAGGTACCGGGTTTCTAATTAGGAGTAGATTACTATCCGCTTTGAGCGACGTACAATTCTTTAGTGATAGAATTTCGGTAGCTATATTTCAGGGACGTTGGTTTAAAATCGCATTAATAAACATACACTGTCCGACCGAAGACAGTGACGATGAAGTCAAAAGTGAATTTTACGATAAACTCGAATGGGTTTATGATAAACTACCGCGAAACTACATGAAAATAATTGTAGGTGACGCGAACGCAAAGGTAGGAAGGGAAGAAGTTTATATTCCGACGATTGGTAAAGAAAGTTTGCACGAATATAGTAATGATAATGGGATCCGTCTGATAAACTTTGCCATCTCGAAAAACCTGATAATTAAAAGTACGACGTTTAAACATAAGGATATTCATAAATATACTTGGACATCACCGGATTCGCAAACACGAAATCAAATAGATCATGTCTTGATACAAAACAGCTGGCAAAGCAGTATAATCAATGTACGGTCTTATCGCGGAGCAGAATGTGGGTCGGATCATGAATTAGTAATCGCGAAACTTCGACAAAAACTTAATATAAAAAAGAGAAAAGAAAACCGTTTCGATTTTGAGAATTTTAATTTGGAAAAATTAAAAAATCCATCAATTAGAAACCAATTCGAGCTAGATGTTAAGAATAAGTTTGAAGCTTTAGAGCTTCCTGACGAGGACCACGAGGATATTGACAAGTTATGGGTAGAGATCAGAGATAATATAAAAGCGGTCGGTAACTCGTGTCTAGGAAAAAAGGAAATTAAGAATAACAAACCGTGGTTTGATGAAGATTGCTTAAACATGTGCGAAAAAAGAAAAGCCGCTAAATTAAAAGCTCTAAATAATCCTAGCGAAGACAATCTGGAATACTTCCGAATCTCAAAGAACGAAACGACAAAATTGCTCAAAAATAAAAAAAGGGAGTATCTTAAAAATAAAATAATTGAAATAGAAACTAATAGAATCGAAAATAACGTAAGAGACATGTACAAAGGTATAAACAGATCACGTAAATATGTAGGGCCCGTAACGTCTGGAATTAGGGATGATAATAACAATATTCTGACCGATCCGGTTGACATATTGAATATGTTTAAGGACCACTTTGACAATATTTTAAATACGGGAAATTATGATCTGTGTCCTCCTTCTGAGTACCAGAGTGCTGAACCGTTAATAGAAGGACCAAGTAAAGAGGAAGTTGAAGTAGCTATCGGAAAATTAAAATCATATAAAGCAGCGGGAATCGATAATATTCCTACTGAACTAATTAAGGCATGCGGGGAAGCTGGAGTTTCTAAAATACATCGGTTGGTTAAAAAGATCTGGGTGAACGAGAAATTACCAGAAGAATGGAAAGAATCTATTCTTATTCCGATTCACAAAAAGGGTCCGAGGACGGATTGTAATAACTATCGAGGAATTTCACTCCTTCCGGTATGTTATAAAATATTCACTTCAATCTTAACCAGTCGAATCACGGAATACGCCGAGGAAATTATCGGAGACTACCAATGCGGATTTAGACGGAATCGTTCGACTATTGATCAAGTATTTTCTTTACGGCAAATATTAGAGAAAAAATTGGAGTATAACGGTATTGTTCACCAGCTGTATATAGATTTTAAAAAGGCTTACGATTCTATTGACCGCCAGAAACTGTATAATATTCTAATTGAGCAGGGGATTCCAAAAAAACTAGTAAATCTAGTCAGGATGTGCTTGACGGAGACACTCAATAAAGTTAGAATCGGTAATAATTTGTCCGAAAAATTTGAGGTTCGTTCGGGCTTAAAACAGGGGGATTCTCTTTCGCCTGTCCTGTTCAATTTGGCATTAGAACATGCCATTAGGGAAGTAATGCGAACCGAGAAAGGGTTGGATCTGGGTGGAACAACATCCGTGCTGGGCTATGCTGATGATCTGGTACTGTTAAGCGAAGACGTTGAAACTATAAAACTAAATACGACAACGTTAATGAAAGCCGGGAAAGAACTAGGACTCGAAATAAACGTGGTAATTTTTAAGTTCTTGTCCCGGAACTTAAAAATTAGAATCTATAAGACAATTATCTTGCCTACAGTTCCTTATGGATGCGAAATTTGGCCGCTTACATTAAGGGATGAGCAGCGTCTTAAGGTTTTTGAAAATAAAGTATTGCGTAGAATATTCGGACCGAAGAAGGATGAGTTAACCGGAGAGTTCAGACGGTTACACAACGCCGAATTGCGTGAGCTGTATCCGGGTAATATAATTGATGTAATTTCATCGCGGCGAATCAAATGGGCTTGTAAAGTTGTTGGGCTTAGTAACGAGAGAATTCCTAAAAGGTTAATATTTGCTGTGCCGAATGGTAAGCGTCCGAGGGGTAGACCGAAGCGAAGGTGGGAAGATTGCATTAAAGCCGATCTGAAGGGACTGGGTTTGGACGGCGAACGGTGGAGGGAGGTGTGTAACAAGCGATTGGTGGTGTCGGCATCGAACCTTCGGGTTCGCTAAGCCTTATTATTATTATTATTATTATTATTATTATTATATGTATGTAATGTTATATGTATTATATGTATGTAATTCACGGAGAACAGGTTCTAAACATGCTCGATATGATAAGTTCTATATTTTTCAGTGTCTACTCCATTAATAAGATAGCAACTTCTTTGAAGTATTCCGAGTCCCAAATGCTCAAGTAAGTATTGCCATACTTCTGAAATGGAATCCATGGTGAACTATGCAGATTAGTTTATATGGTCCTCTGAACATGAAAGCATTTCTATCTGATGACTTAAGACCCACTCTCCAAATATCAGTTAAAAGGGCTCGCTTGAAATTCTCTAAATTCTGATCGATACATTCTGAGCAAGTTCAAATCAGTTTCTTCTGTGAGCTTTGGTGAGTTTCCTGACTGATAAGTAAAATGAAGTGCTATACCCACTCTAGGTAACCTGTTCTCACCAAAGCTCACAAGTCTCCATCACATCACTGCCTTAGTAGGAATCGATACCTTACAAATTTTGTATAATAGACTTCTTGATGGATTTTTATTAAAGCATGATCCTTAAAGCCTGATTGCTAATATACCTCAGTATGAAAGAATTTTTCTGTAATTATTTTCTTCACAATCATTGAAATATTTTTGAAGAATAGTCCTAATACAGAAATTATGTGATGTTTCTAGAAGACCAGATAAAGTCTTCTAGTAAAGATATTTCCTGTCAAGAAAAGGATTGAACAGATAAGATATTCAGACATTTTTCAAGTTCTGAATCAACTTTAATTACTACCTGATGAAAAAAAAAAAACTATGTAAAGTGATGGGTTAATTTTGTCCACCTGTGTATTTTTTCTGTATTTCCTGAATGATAATTACTGCAAAAAAGACATTTATTGAGCAAAGTTTACTTCAAAGCTTACTTGACAAGTGTCCTTGCCTCCTCCAACAACACCTGCACACAACATGCTAGGCTTTTGCCCACTGTATTGGACTATTGCAGGATAGAATTCGTCACATTGTTCAGAAGAGAATAAGTCCAGTTTCACCTTCCTCAGGCTGCCCGAGCTTTTCGTTTTATCTTTAAAACAAAATTAAATTGAATATATTCACAATACGTTCTGCATTTTCTGTTAAAATGCAGTTAATTTTTAGATTAAATATCATTAGAAAATAAATATATAGCAATAGAACAGTTTATCAAATAAATTAAATTATCTTAGTCTGCATCAATGTATTTTAATTTTCGACTTATAAAAACCTTGTTCGAGAATAAATAGGTAAATACTTGGAAATTATTTAAATAGTCTTAGATCTGGCACTATAAAAAGCTAAATTATGAGGTAATTCAAGGTAGAAAACAGAAATCTGCTGCCCATAAACTTCTCCAGGTTAGATTATAACCTCTTCTTGAATGCTGCCAATAACTTAGACCTCCAATTAGCGATGGGATATGGGGGTGTTGTGGTCTCGTCCTCGTAGTGCCCCTGAATAACCCACCAAACGATCACATAGTCGCTAGACGCCCAGTATCACCAAACGCGACTCATTAAGCGGTAGGCACAAAACCAGGCCAACGCAAACGGGCTTTCTGAAGGCCCTGATAACTTTATGTTAAAGACTCTTTTTTGGAATATAGGTGGTCTCACCAGTGAAAAGTACGCTGTTGAATCATTTTGTATCTCAAACGAAATTGATCTGTTCTGCATTGTGGAAGCAGACGTTCTTGCTGACAATCTGGAATACTTCAAGTTTTCAGATTTTCAGACTTACTCCCTGCCAAGAGGTAGACGGATAGCATCAGGATACTAGTGGGTGCGAGGTCTTTCTTCACGGTTAAGTTCCAAGTTAAAAAGGAAATGGATGCTAATGAAAAATTGGAAGGAGAGAAAATAAATCTATGTTCAAGTAACGTCCACCATCCGGTATTTTTAATCTATCCTCCTAATAACAACTCGAATTTAAGTTGGCTGGAAGACTCTTTGACTGAAAAATCCCTTGTGTATGGAGACTTCAACGGACACTACAGGCGCTGGGGTTACACTAACTTAAATTCAGCGTGAAAAACTGTGGGAGAATTTATAGACACAAATATGATTGAATTTGTGGAAAACGAAAATTCAAAGCTCACTTTTATTGATTATAAACTCACCCACACAGCCACTACGCCTAAAACCATTACGAAGAGTGTGAGTACAAGCTACGTGCGACTTCAAACAGTAATTCTCGAATCTGCAAAGTCAGTACATTCCTCGGGAATTTGTGAAGAGATACACTCCATTCTGGATTGATAATCTACAGAAACCAAAAGAAACTAGGGATGCAACTAAAAAAATTTGTAGAAAGGTTTTTTTACATTTCGGTAAACAGTACTTTCCGGTTAAAAAAAAAAAAAACGGAAGATATTGTTAGGCTAAGACCACTTACAACAACAGCTAGCGTTCAATATAATTCGAGCCAAACGAAAGCTTTCAGAGAGCATATGGCTAACCTGAACTTTCGAAAAGATGTGTGAAAGCTCATAGATTTGTCTCAAAGATCCATTCGTGGAAAAGATCCAAGGAACAACCCTCTTAAGTTTAATAACAAAGAGATGTTTTCTGTACTTGTCATAGCAAGCAGCATTTGTAAATTCTTTGCCAGGTAAGGAAATAAAAAAATAAATACTACGCCACCAATCTTATGTCTGGATTCCTCTGAAAGCCAACTTGCTCTTGCACAAAAAAATAAGGAGAAAAGCGGTGTCCTTAATGACATATTACCAGAGTTCCTTATCCACCTGGATGCAAAAGTCAAGCTCACTTTGCTAGAGTTCCCCAATACTGTGTGAAGGTCGCGATATCCTAGTGCTTGAAGGAAGGCTGAGGCGGTTCCAATTCTCAAGAAAAGAAAATGTTCCTCTTGCCCATCTATCTACCGACCTATCATGCTCACAATTGTCTTTTCTAAGCTCTAGGAGAGAATGGTCTTAGTCTGATTGCAAATATATTTGGAAAGAGAAAATAAAATGTCAAAGCAAGCAGATTGCCAGGGACAACGACGTACAACTGAACAGGTGACTCGTTTCAGTGAGGATGTAACAGACGGATTCCAGCACAAACAACACACTTGTGCAGTATATGTTGAGTTTAAAGCTACTTTCGACAAAGTTTCCCCCAAAGTACTTCTGAATAAACTCCTCAAAATGAGTATAGGTGGAAAAATTTACCGAGCCATATGTTTCTTTCTGGCCCAGAGGTTTTTCAGGGTAAGATACAATGTATGGTGTTCAGGTTTCAGAACTTTTAGCTAAGGAGTACCTGTTTTAAGCTCTACACTCTTTAATACAACGATAAATGACTTAGTGGCTGCACTCGAGGGAATATCTGCTCTACTGTTCACGGATGAGCAACCCACTAATATATGCCACTAGTAGCAACATAACAGCACTCGAAGAAACACTTAATGAGGCAAAGGCTTTTTGCTTGGGTCTTGTCTAATGAAATGAAAGTAAATGGCCAGAAAACTGAGTTCCAACTATCCTATCCGCTATCCACTAAAGAGCACGAGCTGGAAGTCATTTATAATAATGTTCCCTAGCCAAGAACTTATGCAGGAAAAAACCTGGGAGTTAAGTTGGATGCAAGAATGAATTGGAACAGGCATATTGAAGAAATAGTGGAAAGGGAGAAACAGGCTTAAGCTCCTAAAACGCCTTGGAGACATAGGAGGCCACTCAGGCAGGATATGATGTGCCTTAAATATAAAAAGTATATAGTCCAGTCCTGGAGTACGGATCTGAGGTGATCTTTTTTTTTCAGCCTACCATACCACCAGGGCAATACGGGTGTATGCAACAGTGTGATGTTAAGTATTAATGTATAATAACACACTACTACCGTAATATCAGTTTACAAAATTCAAAGCTGTGCACACAGCTAAGCTACTAGCTCTTCTACTTTTCCTTATTCTTCAACAAATTAGGCCTGGCTTGCCGAATTAGGAGGTCTTCACGGCACTGGTCCTCTTCTCCTTCTGCGGGTACCTAGGTTGAAGTGAGCTGGACTCACTGCCGTCTTCCAGCCATTTATGAAGTTTTTGAACCGCGGTAAGTTTTCCTCAATCACCAACTGAGGAAACTCCTCTTCATTCGTAAATTCTTGTGGTTCTCATAAACGTGGATCTTAATCCGTCAAAAGCAGTGCAGGTCGTGACCAAATGCTCAACAGTCTCCGGAAATCACAAGTGGGGCAGTGGGGGTCTATATCCTGTCCGAGGCCATGAAGTTTAACTCTAAAACCCCTATGCCCTGTGAGAAATTGTGAAATCCGATAGTCCGGAAGGATCCATTTCGCTTGTAACCGAGATTGAAGGAAGTATTTTCTTAAGGTACTGCCTTTCGGAGATTCTATTGACCGCCAGAAACTGTATAATATTCTAATCCAGCAGGGGATTCCAAAAAAAAACAGTAAATCTAGTGCTTGACGGAGACACTCAATAAAGTTAGAATCGATAATAATCCGTCGGAAAAATTTGAGGTTCGGTCGGGTTTAAAACAGGGGGATTCCCTTTCGCCTGTCCTTTTCAATTTGGCATTAGAACATGCCATTAGGGAGGTAATGCGTATCGAGAAAGGGTTGGAGCTGGGTGGGACAACATCCGTGCTGGGCAATGCTGATGATCTGGTACTGTTAAGCGAAGACGTTGAAACTATAAAACTAAATACGACAACGTTAATGAAAGCCGGTAAAGAACTAGGACTCGAAATAAACGTGGATAAATCAAAATATATGGTTAGCTGCAAAAATGGCGATACTACTGGTGATATCGATATAGATGGTAATATGTTTGAACAGGTAGATAAATTTAGGTATCTAGGTTCTACGATAACTAGAAAAAACGAAATTGAAGAAGAGATTAAGGTTAGACTGAAAGCGGGAAATGCTTGTTATTTTTCTCTGACAAAACTACTTAGTTCGCGCCTCTTGTCCCGGAACTTAAAAATTAGAATCTATAAGACAATTATCTTGCCTACAGTTCCTTATGGATGCGAAATTTGGCCGCTTACATTAAGGGTTGAGCAGCGTCTTAAAGTTTTTGAAAATAAAGTATTGTGTAGAATATTCGGACCGAAGAAGGATGAGTTAACTGGAGAGTTCAGACGGTTACACCACGCCGAATTGCGTGAACTGTATCCGGGTAATATAATTGAGGTAATTTCATCGCGGCGAATCAAATGGGCTTGTAAAGTTGTTGGGTTTAGTAACGAGAGAATTCCTAAAAGATTAATATTTGCTGTGCCGAATGGTAAGCGTCCGAGGGGTAGACCGAGGCGAAGATGGGAAGATTGTATTAAAGCCGATCTGAAGGGACTGAGTTTGGACGGCGAACGGTGGAGGGAGGTGTGTAATAAGCGATTGGTGGTGTCGGCATCGAACCTTCGGGTTCGCTAAGCATTTTATTATTATTATTATTATTATTATTACTGCCTTTCGGAGTCGTCACTCATCGTCTGCTCCAATCTTCAATTGTTTCCTCCCGGATAATTTTTTCCATTTATTTGGAATGGATTCCAATAATCCTCATCCGTAGGTTCTCCGAAAGACATGTTGGGCCCCTCTCTTGTAATCGTACCTGGTCACTTCTTCTCGCAAGAGGAGGTCGAGATGCACCACCTCCGCTAAGACCTGCAGTGTTTCATGCGACGTAGAACTATATGCTCTGGTGACTCGAAGCAGAGTGGTCCTCTGAGTCGATGCTCCTCTTTCTTTGTCTGAGTGTGAGGTTTCGGAACCAGAAAGAAGACGCACACCTCAGGATACCCTCCACAACACCTTTATAAATAGTGATTGTGGCTGAATACCTGAGGCCCCAAATGCGCCTCCCAGGTGACTAAGACTGTTCATTGCTAGGGACACCCTGCCTGCCAGATATTCCAAGTGAGGCATCATATTCAGGCCAACACCTAACCTAACTCCTTGGTAGGTTACCATCTCACCTGGACGTATCATCTGGCCTTCTATGTGGATCGTCATAGGGTGTTCTCTTTTTTTGTGTGTTAGCTTTTTTTTTTTGTGTGTGTTAACTTTTTTTTTAAATCGTAACCGCAGCTAACGTGTTAAATAAACCTGATGTCTATCCTCCCCTAGGGGTATGCGTGGTCCATCGGTTTGATAATGGGTGCCCCTTTCCCTCCTCTCACCCAAGGTCTATGGCGCGTGAACTTCCCCCTCCCTCTCAAGAAATTTTATGCTCTCTTCAAAAACAGTACAACCGAAAGTAGAATTAGAAAAACCCTACATCATATACAAATACACTTGTGGTAGTCTGGTCCAAGTTTTTCTCTTTGTTCCCTGAAACTTCTCACTTTGAAAAATCATAACCCTTTCAAAATGTGCCCACTTCAAAAATTTTAAACTCCGTAAAAATAAAAGGGGTTCTCTCCCCATTGTGTAACTTGGGCCATGAAACCTTCTTCTGAGCCTCATACAATTGAGCCACCTTATACAATTCGAAATTTCATTAGTATAAATATTAACGTCACCTTACCTTCCTTCTCTAAACCAAAGCCGATTGCCAGTCCTTTAGCAATAATAGCTAGATTGGATGGGCCGAGAAGGCAGAGCGGGAAGACGTTGGGAGATAATTGAAAAGGCTCCGCCACCCTAATGAGGGCCAAATCATAGCCTATCTTCCATGGAGTAAACTTCGGATGAATAATCACCTCAGCAGCATAGCGTAACTGTGCCTTGGTGTTATTGAAGTTTGTAGTCCCTGCCAGAATCATGTAGCTGGTCGGGCTGAAACATACCAGTCATATTTGATTAGTGTTTTCATCTTTATAAAATTTGTATGCCGGCATCAACATTTAATTTTGGTATATTACTTTTCTTTTTTTATGCAGTGCGCAGCCGTTATTACAAAGTTTTCGCTGACAATACTCCCACCACAGAACCACTTCTGTTCATTCGATGAATCCGGTTCTTTTCCGATCGCTACCTGCAATTGACATCGTGACCAAGTAGCAATAAGTATCAACATCTAAAAAATACATATATAGCAATAATAGTATTATTGGGTTTATAACAACTAATTAATTTTCCCTTTTGCGATATTATTTCTTATCTCGATTACATTGAGTGAGTTCACCAGCTGATTGTTGTCAGTTTAGAAGCGGCCAAGTCAGGAACTGAGTGAAGGGTGACGATACATAAAACATAAAATTGAGTATCAAATCAACTATAGAAAGAAAAATAGGTTTTGGTAAAACAATGATTCTGTCTCCATTTGATTGAATTCCATCCTCTACTACTACATAATTTAGTAAGTATCAGTTTGATCAAATTCTATCCACTAATCTAAAAAAAAATACTTTCGTTTTCGGATCAGTGGACGCATTGTTTGACATGCCTATAGTTTAAAAACGGCTCGTTCGATTTGACCCAAACTTTGGAGGAAATTTGGAGAATAGTTCAGAATTCGTCTAGTACCAATTTAATTTAATTCCATTTATCCTGTTAACAATATAATAGCTGTGAAATGTGGAAGGGGATATCACATGGAATAGTGATTAGGTTAATACAATATTTTTATGAGGTTATAACATTTTATATGTTTTGTACAAAAAAACTCTATACTCTCTGCTGGCGTTAGCAGATGACCTCGTCATATTGGCCCAGAATGACCGTGACCTCCAGAACAATATTAATATCCTAAAGGAAGATTTAAGAAACATCAATATGAAAATTATCCGTGAGAAGACGAAATGCATGCGCATTGGAAGAAAACATCACAGTGTTATGAGGGTATTGAGGGTCGACGGTGAGATTTTGGAGCAGGTGGGCAGTTTCAAATACTTAGGTGCCCAACTCAACGAAAATGGATATATTGACGAGGAGGTAAGGCAGAGAATAGGAGCTGCTGGAAGAATGTTCGGCTAGGTTAGGAAAGGCTTTCTGAACCGAAAAGAGGTGACCAAAGAAACGAAGATGACGGTCTACAGATCAGTATTCCTTCATATACTGACATATTCTTCCGAGTCCTGGACACTTACTTCGAAACACAGGAGCCAGATCCAGGCTCTAGAGATGCGATACCTGCGAAAAGTGGAGGAAAAGACTAGACGAGACAGAATCAGCAACACTACAATTCGCGCCAATCTCGACGCCAAAGCGGTCGAAACCATTATAGAAGAACACAAGTTGAGATGGTTTGGGCACCTTCTCCGTATGGACCGGAACAGAGTCGCACGGAAGACATATGAAACTCGCGTGCAGGGTAGGAGACCAAGAGGAAGACCCAGAATCTCCTGGGAAGAAAGCATGCGAGATGCATTCTAGAAGCAAGGTTTGGAATGCAACAGGAGACGAGAGCTGGTACTGAAAAGGTCCATCGGGTCCAAGCTCTACAAGAAGCTACCTCACACTGCATAGGCGGTAAAGAGGAATATGACTATGATGATGATGATGACAAAAAGTTAATTTATAATGTATTCTTCGGTCGATACCAAACGTTACTGGCATGATTTTTAATGCCTTCACTTAGATTCCATTTACTTTACAGTAAATTTTAATTAATTCTTTTTAGTTTTTTTATTAAACGCCTCGACCGTTGGCTATTAGACCATTCGGCTCCTGGCAGCCCAATACAACTCCGCCATGAATCATTTGTTTAAATTTGTTCCGATCGCATCAGAAGTACTGCGGACATCTGACAGAGCGGGGCAAACTGAGAGGTGCAGGTCGTACATCTCGTTCTGTTGGCAAAGAGGGCACACAGGACTTTCCACCACTCCAATCATATATAAATGCCTTTGCAGGTAATAGTGCCCTGATGCCATGCGGAAATTTGCCACCGATTCTTTCCTATTTTTGCTTTGTTTCATCGGTTCCTCTGTTAAACATTCCCATTTTTTCCCCACTGCCTGTCGCTTTTGTCAACTCTTGTTCTCTTCCTTGTACAATTATTTTAAAATCCTTTTAACAGATTCGTAGGGCAGCGAAGGATTAGTTTGTGGCATATCCGAGGTGATCCGTGCGAGCTCATCAGCTTTTTCGTTTCCTGGTAGCCCGCAATGGCTTGGAACCCATTGGAAATCCACTCGGATTCCTTTTTTTAATTAAGTTATTAATCCGATTTCTGGCACTAGTGACATCAGGATGGTCCAGGCCATTGCAGATGGACAGTATGGCTGCTTGTGAATCGACAAACATCACAACTCGGGAATAGGTGAGTTCTTTATCCATTTCAGTTAATGCTGCCGAAATAGCTTTGACTTCTATATAACATAAAATCTTGGCAGTATACTCCTTCTCCTGCATTCCGCGTAGCTGTTTGAGCGGAGCCGTCGATGTATACTTGGAGCCAATTCTGCTCGGGTTAGTGGCTATTTATTGTTTCCAAAGCAAGCGCTTTCAATTCCCACTCAGGTGTTTGGTGTTTGCTTACTGGTTGTGTTAGATCTAGCCGTGCCTCTGCAATAAATCTTTGTTGGTCATTACATTTATCAAATGGAAGACTCATGCCTAGATCTATGTGTTTTCTTTCAAGTAGTTCTCTAACTCTTAGTGGTTTTTGCATCTTGAGGCGCTCGACAGATGTTTCTTGAGCAGCCCAGTACTTCAAACCTAGTCTTTTCATTTTCTCTGTAAGGCAGATTACTGCCAATTCTCTTCTTTTTTGAAGTGATTCAATTCCCGTTAGTTACTATAAAGCTGCAATTGGTGTGGATTTTGCAGCTCCTGTAATCAGTCTCAGCCTTGTTTTGCACCACATCCAAGACATGCAGTGAGTTTTCTGATGCAGTTAATAATATCTCACTACCATATTCCTTTACTGGTCTTATGTATGACTTGTATGGCAGGGTTAATAATTCTTCGTGAGCGCCCCATTTAATTCCTGCAAGTCAATTAATTTATCTAAATGGTTCTTCCAAGTAAGTTTGCAGTCTAACTTTATACCCAGGTATGTTGCAGAATCAGTCTGAGTCAGCTTCTCATTATCATATATAATTTCTACTTCGTGTCTTTTAGTCGAGAAGGTAAAGATTTGATAATGAGTTTTGAGAGTATTAACTTCAAACTGGTTGTCCACCGTCCATTTGTGTAGTGATATTAATACAGTATTTAAGCAGCACTCAATAGCTTTCATGTGGCTGCTAGTAGCCCAGATAACTAAGTCGTCTGCATGAGAAGTGTTTGAACTCAAAGAATAGCTTCTAGTATTTCAATTACATCGTTAATCAATATGTTAAACAAAATTAGACTTAAAACTGCACCCTGGGGGACTCTTCTTCTTGTCTGTTTATAAGGTGAAACTACACCATTATATTTTACCCGGATATGTCTCTGGGAAAAAAAAGAATACATGCATTTGAACATATTACCGACCACGCCCATATTTTTAATTTTTAGTAACTGCATTTCTCTCCAGACTTTATCAAATACTGCTTTAAAGTCTACAAAAATTGCCAATGTACTTTGTTTTCTGTGGAAACCATTTTTCATTTCATGTGAAAGGTATGCCTCCTCATGTATCCTCAACCAGAGACCTCAACTTCCAAGAACTCAACAACATTTCTTCCTTATCCTTGGCGGAAGAGAGGTTCTTCGTTACACTAAATGTAGGAGGAATCAATCTTCCAGCGCTTATTGACACAGGAGCCAATCATTCGTACTTCGGTTCTTTAGGGCTCTCATCTTTACCTCAAGATCACATCACGCTTTCATCCGTTACCTCTTATCCTGTCACGGTAGCTAATGGACCGTTAACGAAGCTGTTGCCTTCTTAGCCAGCTTGAACGGCCATCAAGTTGAGATAACTGTTTATGTTCTTCTAAATCTAACAGTTCTTTGCCTTTTAGAGATGGACGCCATGAGAGCACTAAGAATGGTAATTGATGCTGCTGAAGGGTCCTGGTGGTTTAAAGATATGCCTTTTAGTCGAGCTAGGTTCTCTAAGGAATCTTTTTCTTGAACAAATAGCGGGAATTAGAAGACTCAAGCCAGAAGAAGCCAAAAGATTGGACCAAGTTCTGGAGGAAGAATTGATAAACACTGACAATTCCGTTGGTCTTACTTAACTTGCCTAACATCATATCGACGTCGAAAAGAGCCACCCAATCAAACAAAGGGCATACCATGTCTCCCCTGTAGTACAAGAAGCTATCAACCAGGAAGTCTATCGCATGCTTCAATAAGACATTATAGAGCCTTCTTATAGTGCTTGGTCTAGCCATGTGGTAATGGTAAAAAAGCCAATGGGTAAATATCGTTTTTGTGTACATTACCGCAAAGGTTAATGCAGTAACTAAGCCAGATGTTTATCCTCTACCTAATATGTCCTCTCACTACTTGATCAACTTAAGGCTTGCCGCTATCTATCCAAGATTGTCTTGGCCCACGCCTATCATCAAATTCCCTTAGCCACCCCTTCGAAAGAAATAACTGCCTTCATCGTTTTAGAAAGAGACCTGTTTCATTTTAAAAGACTTCCCTTTGGACTTTGTGGGGCTCCAGCGACATTTCAGCGGCTACTGGATAAAATCATTACTCCCGACCTTGCTCCAGCTTGCTTTGCATATCTTGATGATATAGTCATCGCCACAGCAACGTTCGAAGAACATTTGTACTACTTCAGGCTGGTTCTTCAAAGACTTCGAAAGGCTGGACTTAAAATTAATCCTGAGAAGAGCAAATTCGGATGTAATGAAATCCAGTATCTGGGTTTTTTAGTGAATGAGAGAGGCTTACAGGTAGATCCAGGTAAAGTAAAACCACTCCTACACTACTCTGCGCCTAAAAATGTCATTGAAGTAAGGATACTTATTGGTATGGCCTCCTGGTACCGCAGGTTTATCCCATATTTTGCGGACAAAATGTATATAAATTACAGAGCTTCTCAAAAAAGGAAAACCTTTTCTCTGGGATGAGGAACAAAATGCCGCCTTGGAAGAAATCAAAGGTATCCTTACGTCAGAACCGGTTTTCACAAGTCCTGAT